TGTCATTAGCCTCTGTAAAGAAGTCGAGGACTGAGGCGGCTACAGGCTGAATGTGATTCCATCACAACGGTGAAGTCAAGAGCAAAACACCTCATCCTGAAAGTTCCATGAGCTTCCTCCGAGAAAAACTCGTTCCATAAACTAGAGCAGCACGTCCTAGACTTTGGTACGCTTGATAATCAGGTTTACAGTTTGGCGTCACAGGTGCAAGTAGCCCCCAGGTGCAGGACGCTCCAGCTGAAAAGTCACAGCATGTGATAATCGCCGGGGACTCGAATATAAATCGATGCACAGAAGCCATCAAAGAGAGGGTAAGAGGTGACAAGAGGGTTGCAGTAGGGGCGTTCCCAGGACGCAAGCTGGAAGCAGTCATCAGGCAGGCGAGCGCAAAACTCAACACTACAGCTGATAGACGAAACCTCGTGATAATTTCAGGCGGTTCAAACGATGTCTTAAATGAAGATACAGCAGGACTAGCAGCTACACTGGCGAAAGGCGTCGATGACATGCGCGCCACTTCTCCTCAGGTACAGGTAGTGATATGCACTATACCGGAGGTACCGGTGCGTGATAGTAACCTGCAAAGAGTGGTTGTCAACGCAAACCAAGAGATATGGCGGATGAGTCGAGAGAAAGGCTTTGAGGTGGTGGAAATAAACAGAGAGTTGCATAGGTGGGGTGGTTTTCAACGAGACAGAATTCACTTCGATGGGTTGGCGACTTGCAGGACGCGCAGTAGCTTTTTTGGGGGGCAAGCGGGCCCTTCAGGGTGCAGGATAGCTAGTAACGAGGAAAACAACCAGGGAGATTCTTTGACACGTGGTATGGACAGATACGATTCCAAAGTGGCACCAGTATCTAAGATAGGTAGAGTCCGGGGCAGAAATAGACGTAGCCACGAGCGCCGAGCCAATTCACACATAGGGTGTATTAACATGCAGGGCGGTAGGAACTGGCTGAAGTGGGAAAAGGCTGATGGTATATGGTTTTCTAGAAACACATCTCAGGGACATGGAACAACCTCCTAACAATGCGGACTACGCGTGGGAATATTGTAATAGAACTGAAGGCAGCAGAAAGGGGGTACCGTACCATTCTATGATCACTGCATCGCACCTTGCCAAGCATTTCCACATCCTGCATGATGCCTGGGTGTGCCCTCAGTATAAGGTCTATTTCGTTCTTACTTTCGTCATTAGGGCTCCTCCATGTCCCACTCACGGTTCCCTCGTTTCCAGTAGGATGTATTCAAGATCCGTAAAATATTGCGTTCTGCAAATTCCACTAACAACTCCCCTCTGGCATTTCTAGTACCAATACCATAATCGCCTACTGCCTGGTCTCCAGCCTGCTTCTTCCTACCTTGGCATTGAAGTCGCCCATCAGATGTTAAACCCCATCAATTGATCATTACCAACTATGTTTTTATTGCTTGTTCAGAACATCTCAATTCAAAAATAACGTACTTTAATTAACTTTCTTCTTTGATTGAGCTGACGCCTATGGCTGCAATTACACACACATTCAGCTGAAGCCGACTACGTTACCGTTAAAGAACAGAGAGAATGTCTTCCGTATGGGCTTGTATTTCACGGTGGATGTTCAGAGAGCGATCCAAACAATCTTTCATGTGTTGTTGTAGCTCTCAGGTACAACTTTATGCGTCTTCAGCGATGAAAACAAAAAGCGTTCTGCTTCAGCTGTGCTCACCGGAAGAGTTGCCAGAATCTCAAGAAGATGATGCGCGTTTGAGAAAAATACCTCTGGTCAATTGGCAACCACTTGCATCACAGGACATGCTCAGTGTTTCTCGCTTCTCTCGCTTCCATTTTGCAGCCTATACTGCCAACTCCCCTTGCAATGCTGAAGTTGAAATAATGTTCGAGTATACATGTCAGTAAACTTGAATTAAGAGTGGCAGATAGGGCAATGTTCTGTGGCAGAAGCGAAGAAAGCATCTTCAAGGTTTGCTGATGCCTTTTAAAGCGCGCATTGAAGTAGTCTATTAAATAGTCCAGAAAAAGCCAGAAATACTGAAAGCCTAGAGTGCTCTTCCACGCCAGCCACTGGCACGTTACTTCAATGAAGCTGCCTGCCTGCCCCGAGTGGCATTCTCATTTTCACTGGTTGTGAAGTGTGCACTGGGAGCAGCGTCGCTTTTCGGGAAATAATCATCAAGCGTTATATCGTACGGCGTTTCGGCACGACCATCGATTCTCATAAAAGGGCACTGATCGACCCAGGACGCGAACTACCAAGCAATACGTGTAGGCAGCGTATTTCGAGGGGGTGACTTCACAATGCTAGGAAGCAACGAGCTCAGTAATGCTCGGGCAGTGATCCTGAATGCGAGAAACGAGAACTTTATCGACGGACGATACATGTAGGCTGGTAAAGTTCCGCCTTAAACACTAGCGCTCGTTTTTCGCCTGGCGGAAAGTATACATTCCCTCCACTTCCCTTCAGGTGCCGGTAATGTCGCGCTCGCCCTGCGACATCTCTGCGCGCGAGATGCCTCACGTTTGTGATTGCGCCTATACGGAAGGCTGGTATAGTTTCTGTCGCGTTGTGATGAAATAGCACAAACGTGAATGAACGCGAAGGAGGTGATGACAGTAGTGAAATTCTCGCGACTCGCATCAGAATGCCCGAAACAGACAACCAACAGGTATAAGCGGTGCACAGTAGAGCATAAGTAAACTCGTGTTGCATGCGCTGGCAGTTCTCGTCGGAGTTCAGGCATTCTGAAAAACGGATTATGGTGCACTATTCTCTGAGCAACTCCGGAGCTCATTCCTTCATCACTAGGTGAACTGATCACTGAAGATCTGGTGCGGTTCGAGGCTGCTCATATTCATGCTGGTGGAAGTGCTGGAAACATGAATGCCCGTATGCTGCATGGTGAAATATTCCGTACAGTTCTGAATCTGTTCAGGTGAAGAGAAAAGTCAGCTGCACGCTTGCAAACAACGGAAGACACCTTGTCGCAACGCTACCATTTCAGGAAGCCGAGGGAAGAGAGCTACGAAGAAAAAATGACAACACATACCACGTTTTTTGCGCGTATTTAAGTGTTTTAGCACATATGCGCAGTGACCAAGTTTTATGTGAGTATAGTCCGGTCACACGTGCACTTTTGATTGAGACCAAATGAACATTTCTCATCGATAATTCGCTCAGCAAAGTAATCAAAATTAAAATAAATTAATTATGAATGTACAAAAACATGCTGCTTATACCTCTCATTCCTCGTTGTAAGCGTAACCCTCCTTGACCTGTCGAACGCACTTCGCCCCGATGAGGACTACGCCATCTACGCTTAACAAAGATTAACGATGTCTTCTTCGATCGGGTGGGTAACCACAGTTTTGCATTTTCTAAGACTAGTCCATCCAATGGTGCGGCGAGAGGCCATTGCTCCAAACGGTCACTTTACCTGTCATTTACTGTATTTATAGTACTTCTTACAGCACTGCCCCACCCCCATGGTCTAGTAACTAAGGTACTCGGCTGCTAACCTGTAGGTCTCGGGATCGAATCCCGGCTGCAGTGGCTGCATTTTCGATGCAGGTGAAAATGCTGTAGGCCCGTTTGTTCAGATTTCGGTGCACATTAAAGAATCCCAGGTGGTCTAAATTTCCGGAGCTCTCTACTACGACGTCTCTCATATTCGTATTGTTATGGGGATTACAAACACATGGAATAGAAAAACGAGTGCATTTCCAATATTTGCAGGTAGGTGTGACACCCCAGGGCTGCCAGCATCTCGCGCGCCTAGTCCGCTTCTTCATCGATTCTTCCGACGGCGGAGCCATGCCCACTGCCTCGTAACAATATGGTGGTTTTGGGACGTTAAATCCCACATATCAATCAATCATTCTTACAGTAGTTTTACTTACTCTCTTCACAACCATACACATGGGGAGAGGGGAATCTTATGACTTGACCTACATGTGATTCATCTGTTTAGACTACCGCTGATAGCGACGTCACAGAGAAAAGCTGATGCCTGTGCCTCCCCCTCCCCCCGTCGGGTCTGTGTGACCCCCCCCCCCCCCAAAAAAAAAAAATTTTGGCTACGCCCCTGGGAGCGACCATTTGGCAGGATCTGCTTCTGGGCTCGTGATCGAGTTTTACATATAGGACTTGTAGATTGCTGTTGGAATCAGCCGACCTTATTCAGTATTTCCCTCTAAAAACATACGCGGGAACTTGGAGGATCCACTGGTGAAATTCGCATGTGAACATCGGTGCCAAATACGTAATGTGCAGCATGTTTTCGGCTAATGAATCAGCTTTCAAAATACAAAGTGCACATTTTATTTTCGTGCGGGTAAATGTATCACTAATGATTGCATATAACATGTTGAGGCACCGTTATTCGTGTAGCCAGAAATTCTTGGAGGCACTTTTCTTCCCAGGGTACCTTCGCTTATAAGAAAGTAGGACTCGGCGACCATTTCTAGCCAGACTCACTAACCAACAAATACTCAATAGTATTGCCTAAGGTCGTCTCAGAGATGGTGATACTTGCTAGTGCTAGCTAAATGGCTGCTAGTGTTGGGCAACCTTGGCTGAATAGTCATTGGTGCTGCGTTAACGTTCATTTAATAAAGAACAGTAATGACTGTCTGTGTTGGCTACGCGCTGTTATAACATCAACTTGAACCTAATCACATCAACATAACATGACCATCAACTTCGCACAGGCATGGGTGGCAGAGGAGGTGCCTCCCCTCTTTCCTATTACCAAGGCGGGGGGATGGGGGAAGGGGGCAACTTTCGTCCCATATTGTAGTTCATTCGGACCAGTTCATCATTCTTTTAAAAAGCAGCTGGGGTCATGACCACACAGGTTTTTCAGGATAATGGTGGCCGAATGCCCCTCATTATGAATTCCGCGAACTCTTTACCTCCGATTTCGCTCCCGCGAAGTCACGTACGAAAGGCAGGTGATGGTGGGAAGCAAGTCGTGGCTTCGCCTACTTTCGTATCATCGTTCATTGTGAAGCGTGCTGTGTTTTGGACTCGGCCGATGTAGGAGGCGAGTGGTATTGGTGAAACTTTGCCGCTCTTATCCAGAACCCTGCGCACACACATGAACATTTGCCTTCATTCAATTTGAATTCAATGATAATGTTGATTTATACTTTTAATGCCTTCTAGCCTCTCTGAAATGAGGAAATGGTGGTGTGCTGAGAAAGCGAGAGACCGAATATATATAGCAAAGCAGATGCGCTCTCAGTTCAAGATGCATAGAGCTTTAGTAGCATCCCGGTCATTCGCGACTAGCTTTAACTGATCTGCGAGGTTCAGATAGGCCGAGGTTCTTTCCCCGTACTGATTGGTGCGGTAAAGGTTGCGGTTTTGCAAGGATTCTACGAGGCCTCTTACTGATATTGTGAAGGGACGGTACCCGAGTCATTGGCAGATGGGAAATTGCGCAGAAAACAGCGCAGGTATTGTGAAGTGATTTCTGATTAAATCGGGAAACGTGTTGGCCTGCAGAGCAGAAGTGGGAGTAATCACTCCTGCTCCCTAAGTAGTGACGTCTGTGCGGAGGGTAAGTTCTGAGGTCTACAGATCTTGCTGGCAGATAGCGGCAAAAAAAATCTGAGTGTGTATTCTGACTTTAAAACACCGCTTGAAGACGTGTGCGCATCAAGGCTCTACAGTGACCGCCTCGACGCATCTTGGCACGCCTCTGAAAAGGAATCTCGGGCGACGTGCGATCAACGCTTGGACGTCTCAACGTCTCGATGAACAGAGCGGCAGCGGCGGCGCACATGACGATGCCCCAGAGCAAGAAGGTGGCCATCGTGTCTTCGATGGTAAGGTCTTCGGCCACGTGCTCGCCGGTGCGCCTCACACAGCGTTGCCAGTCTCCCAGCTCGTCGGCCATCCACTTGCTTACCAGGCCACTTTCGTAGAGCCACGTGACCCTGCATGAATTCATTATTAGGGCTTGGTATAAAAGGGCACGTAGCTTCCACTTGACATCACGGCCTTGGCTTCCTGATTTCTATACTACTGCTATCTGGGACATACAGAAAAAACATTGGGAGTTTTTCCCGCAATCGGGAACATGAGAGAAGCGAACCTTGGCCTGTGCGTGCTTGACCGTATCTATCTATCTATCTATCTATCTATCTATCTATCTATCTATCTATCTATCTATCTATCTATCTATCTATCTATCTATCTATCTATCTATCTATCTATCTATCTATCTATCTATCTATCTATCTACCCAACTATGACTTTTAGCTCTCCTGACCATTTGGATAATCGTTTCGATACCAAACTTGGTATGGCATAACATGACATTATGACGAGCATATTTGACTGACCATAACATGATAATCATGACATGTATGTCATGAATGTCACGATTTACATTTCATGGTCTTCCTGCTCTTGCGGTGGTCTCGTTTACATGGCATGTTGCAAAACTGGTATGGTATTACAAGATTGCATGGCGAACACAAGCGACAGACCCTAACGTGGAAATCATGACATGCATATCATGTAAGTCATGAGTCATGACCACATGCCACGCTCATAATGCGCTCGCAGCCGTCTCGCTAGCTTCACATATACCGAATTCGGCGTTACGTGATGCGAATGGTTGACGAAGGTATGTAACTGGTGCAAACATGATAATCATGAGATGCGTGTAATGTGACATTATGACTACAAGCCACACTCACGATGCCCTCGCAGCCGCTTCGCTAGCTTCACATACACCAAATTTGGTATTAAGGGACGTGAATGGACGACAAAGGAGTGTTACTGGTGCAAGCTTGATAATACTGTGATGCGTACCTGTAACAACATGACCACATGCTACGCTCATGGTCCACTCACGGCCATCTCGCTAGCTTCACATGTACCAAATACAGTATTACGTAACGCGAACGTATGACATATTAAAATGACATGCCCAAACATGATAATCGTGAAATGCATGTCATGTAACAATATGACTACATGCCGCACTCATGATGTGCTCGGGGCCGTTTCGCTATATTCGTATATGCCAAAATTGGTATTACGTCACGTGAATGGATGATGAAGGTATGCGACTGGTGCAACCATAATATTTATGAGATGCAAGTCATGTAAGAGCATGACTACATGCCACACTCGAGGCGCCGATACGCTTAGACGTGACCCGGTGCGTGTGTGCTTCAGCGTTCGTTTCGTCGCGTCATGCCGGCGATGCCACGCCAGGTGCCGATCTGCCTGGCATATACTCGCAGGCACGCGCCGCACTGCGTTGCTTTGACGCATGCGCGTTTGAGCCCGCCCGGCGTCCCTTCGTCACGAAGCTAGGCAGACGCGGTGTATTCTTGGTAACGCGGTTGGTGCGAAATGCATGTCGCATTTCGCACCGTGTGCCGCCGGGCTGCGCCGAACAGAGGCTAGTCGTGTCAGGCGGCAGGCTATTCACCTTTTCATAAACGCCTCCCTGGGCGCCGCCATAGCCCTCCTTGGGCTGTGCAAAGTGGCGCGTCTATCTATCTATCTATCTATCTATCTATCTATCTATCTATCTATCTATCTATCTATCTATCTATCTATCTATCTATCTATCTATCTATCTATCTATCTATCTATCTATCTATCTATCTATCTATCTATCTTGCATTGTCCGATGCTCCCCTCGAAACTTTTTCGATTCTCCGTGCCAGGAATCAGACCTTCAACAGCATGCTGTTGCCTGTAAAAACATAAGTGCAGCACTTCTATTTTTACAGAGAACAACGATGGTCACACATAAGACAATGAAATGCAAGAATGAAATGGGATTTGGGTGCGTGTTAAAGAACCTCAGAGGGTCGAAATCTCCGGATCCCTCCAATACGGCATCTCTCATAGTATGGTGGTTTTAGGACGTTAAACTCCACATATCAATCAAGAATGAAATGTGGCGACGTGAAAACAACAAGTGTCTGATAAAACGTTCGATTTCAGTTTCGCTGATCGCCGTCAAGACGACTATGGGGAGAGCAACAATCTTTAGAAAACAGCGCAAATGTGCATGTGACTAGCGCACATATGAGAGCCGCATCTATAGGTGTGGGGTTGGTGGTTTTGTAATAGATGAAAAGAAGATAAAAGTGAGCCCCGCAACTGTGCGCAGCTAAGTGCGACAACACACCAGTAGCTCACAAGAGAGTGAGATAAGGAGGGACTAAAAGTGATAGTGTGAGCAGTAAATACTGAGGAAATAAAAATATTGGGACACGGTCGAAGGAGTTCGCGGACGGAGCACCGATCGGCTATAGAGCTAGCTACAAGGCGTCAAGAGATCGCGGACGGCAGGTCGATCAGCGATCGAGAGCTACGCTGGTGTCTGACATCGTGGACGACGCAACCGTTCAGCCCGGAATTCACCAAGCGAGTCGAGCATCTACGTACACCCGCATCCTTGTATGGTCGCCCGTGCAGAGTTTTTCGTGCACGATACCTCCGCCACCGAAGTCTGTGACTCATAAAATCTTCGCTTGAAGGGACACTTAAGAGAAAAGTGATTTTTACGATATTAGAAAAGTAGAATTTCAAAAAACCGAGAACAACACAATTACCACGACAGGACGCTTCGCTAGCTTCACATACACCAAATTTGGTATTAAGGGACGTGAATGGACGACAAAGGAGTGTTACTGGTGCAAGCTTGATAATACTGTGATGCGTACCTGTAACAACATGACCACATGCTACGCTCATGGTCCACTCACGGCCATCTCGCTAGCTTCACATGTACCAAATACAGTATTACGTAACGCGAACGTATGACATATTAAAATGACATGCCCAAACATGATAATCGTGAAATGCATGTCATGTAACAATATGACTACATGCCGCACTCATGATGTGCTCGGGGCCGTTTCGCTATATTCGTATATGCCAAAATTGGTATTACGTCACGTGAATGGATGATGAAGGTATGCGACTGGTGCAAACATAATATTTATGAGATGCAAGTCATGTAAGAGCATGACTACATGCCACACTCGAGGCGCCGATACGCTTAGACGTGACCCGGTGCGTGTGTGCTTCAGCGTTCGTTTTGTCGCGTGATGCCGGCGATGCCACGCCAGGTGCCGATCTGCCTGGCATATACTCGCTGGCACGCGCCGCACTGCGTTGCTTTGACGCATGCGCGTTTGAGCCCGCCCGGCGTCCCTTCGTCACGAAGCTAGGCAGACGCGGTGTATTCTTGGTAACGCGGTTGGTGCGAAATGCATGTCGCATTTCGCACCGTGTGCCGCCGGGCTGCGCCGACAGAGGCTAGTCGTGTCAGGCGGCAGGCTATTCACCTTTTCATAAACGCCTCCCTGGGCGCCGCCATAGCCCTCCTTGGGCTGTGCAAAGTGGCGCGTCTATCTATCTATCTATCTATCTATCTATCTATCTATCTATCTATCTATCTATCTATCTAGCTATCTATCTATCTATCTATCTATCTATCTATCTATCTATCTATCTATCTATCTATCTATCTATCTATCTATCTAGCTTGCATGGTCCGATGCTCCCCTCGAAACTTTTCGATTCTCCGTGCCAGGAATCAGACCTTCAACAGCATGCTGTTGCCTGTAAAAACATAAGGTGCAGCACTTCTATTTTTACAGAGAACAACGATGGTCCACACATAAGACAATGAAATGCAAGAATGAAATGGGATTGTGGGTGCGTGTTAAAGAACCTCAGAGGGTCGAAATCCTCCGGATCCCGCCAATACGGCATCTCTCATAGTATGGTGGTTTTAGGACGTTAAACTCCACCTATCAATCAAGAATGAAATGTGGCGACGTGAAAACAACAAGTGTCTGATAAAACGTTCGATTTCAGTTTCGCTGATCGCCGTCAAGACGACTATGGGGAGAGCAACAATCTTTAGAAAACAGCGCAAATGTGCATGTGACTAGCGCACATATGAGAGCCGCATCTATAGGTGTGGGGTTGGTGGTTTTGTAATAGATGAAAAGAAGATAAAGTGAGCCCCGCAACTGTGCGCAGCTAAGTGCGACAACACACCAGTAGCTCACAAGGGAGTGAGATAAGGAGGGACTAAAAGAGATAGTGTGAGCAGTAAAGACTGAGGAAATAAAAATATTGGGACACGGTCGAAGGAGTTCGAGGACGGAGCACCGATCGGCTATAGAGCTACACGGCGTCAAGAGAATCGCGGACGGCAGGTCGATCAGCGATCGAGAGCTACGCTGGTGTCTGACATCGTGGACGACGCAACCGTTCAGCCCGGAATTCACCAAGCGAGTCGAGCATCTACGTACACCCGCATCCTTGTATGGTCGCCCGTGCAGAGTTTTTCGTGCACGATACCTCAGCCACCGAAGTCTGTGACTCATAAAATCTTCGCTTGAAGGGACACTTAAGAGAAAAGTGATTTTTACGATATTAGAAAAGTAGAATTTCAAAAAACCGAGAACAACACAATTACCACGACAGGACGCTTGGCAAGCGAGAATACACGCGAAAAAAAATTTGGGTGGAGCTGTGCTACCCTAAAATTGCCGCACAAAGCACCATATGACGTCATAGACTTTGAATGCTTCGACTGGGTACTATGAATCCTCTGTATAATTGACAAAATATTAACTACATTGTCATTTGTTGGTGCCGCATAACTACCATACGAAGTTCCAGAAAATTTCATCCAGCCAATGTCGCGAAATTACGAAAAATACATTTAAAATATTTGACGTCACACGCTGAGATTTCCGCGCGAAATTTTAAAAATGAAACTTTGACCTTGATTTTCTCCGCTAATAATGAGCTTATTATAGCTTAACTTACGGTATTAGCGTTCTCACAGTGCGGTTTATCTATCAATATGAGCCACGTCAATCTTTCAATCTTTTTAGTGTCCCTTTAATAGAAAGAGCATGTATATTGGCCACTGTCACCCGAAATGGCACTACACCTGCTTGCGCTATTGACGAAATTGGAATACCGGAATTGTGGGGACAGAGCGGATTTTCGCTGTGATGCAGCTTACGGCTGTTTGTGGGTTGCTGCAGGCAAGACATGGTTAGTAAAGGTCACGTCCTTTGCGAGACGTCCGTGAACGAGGTTGGGCTAGCGTTTATGGCACAGCTGCAATGCTGTTCCCTTCCGTGAGAAACGCAAGTCTTAGGTGCAGCGCATTGCACATTACGTAAATACCGAAGCTTCCTTGTCATCAACAATCTAAAGCAGAGCTCTGGGTTTTTTTTTCCTTTGGAACTCACAACTTCTTGCAAAGATACCTTTTTCTGTGAGACGTCGGACGTATTCTGCACTTCTACACACGCTGGCAATTCATTGCAGACAAGGCAAATATGAATATTTCCGTAAAGCAATAAGTCTGTCATTCCGCATATCTCGAGTGTTTGAGACACTTCTTTGATACTTCGAACCCTATCGTTCTGTCTAAAAGCGATTTCTACATATTATTACATGCACCCATTCCTCGTGATAGTCACCTCACGGTGTCCACAATGTAGTAAAGTGATGCAGATTATGGGCAGGAAATCAAAGGGTATCTCCAGTATACACGGTGTTCCACGTGTTATGTGGAGCCTACTTTCCTCGCCAGACACACTCTATACTGAAGCCAACAGAAATAAAGCATGAGGAGCATTATTTGCAGCTCTTTGCTTGAAATCACAACGCAAAACCAAATAAATTAAAGTGAGTGCAAGGACAGTTCGGTACCGGTGGTAACCTGGTCATAAGCAATGCATATCGACATACTTAACCCCTGCCCCCCCCCCCCTTCTAGCAACACATAAACTTATACTTCAGTAGGGATAGATTCCGCTAGCCTATACGTGGAATAGGTAGTGTCCCCTGTGAGAAAAGGTGCAGCGATCGTCCCTTTCTTAAGTTTAACAAAGCGGACGAGCAACCACACAGTCATTCGAAAGTCGAGCATGCCTAGTTTCGAAAAGGTGATGTCGAAAGAACGCGAAGCTTACGCATATAACGGCCGATGCTTCGAGAAATACGTTCGAAAATTCTGCAATGTGAGAGGAAAATTTGCGCGCTGCATTAGTCATTCCTTTTTCTGTGCTGACAGGCACCTTTGCACAACCACGGACATTAATTGTAATTAAAAATTAAATATATTGCCCCTTTAATTAGTTGGGGGCAGGTGTTGTGGTAAACTGAGAGCACGCAGCCTTTCGCGCGAAGAGTCAATTGCCGTTTGAAGGTGTCGAAAAAATCATACGCTGGCAATTTTATCAGAATTGAATTCTGACGGACTTTGCCGGCTAAACCAATACAGAAACAGAAACTGAGAACTGTGCTGGAGCCATATTCTTCTGAGACGACTCGCACGAACGACAGTCATTACGTCAACCATCGACCGGCTTAACTCCTTCAGTGTGCGGGCTCTGCTTGCGGTTATAGCAAGGAAAGCGCACATGAGGCAGAACTCATATTACCAAGAATGTCAGTCGTCAATAGTGACGTCTTTCTGGTCTTCTAGTTGTGCCTCATCCTGCGCTTCGCACATGTGCGCTTAATTGGGCGAAATTTCATTACTCCTCTATAATTACCAGAGGTGTTTTTTTTTCTCGGAACCTTAATGTGTCAATTGGCACTCCGCAAAATGAATTACTCGCATCTGGCCTCACCACTTATCTAGGTAAAATTGATTGAATTAAATAAATTCTCTAATACTGCCGTAATTGATGTCTCCGGTAAACTTAAGCTGCCTGCCACCATGCACAAAAAGAGTACTTATGAAGGCCGAGAGTAAATTGGCTCTTCGCAGAATCGACTTCTCCCATCTGGCCCGACCACCTGTCTACACTAAACGAATTAATGAGCCAAATTTCTCTAATTACTGTCATAGTCGATGTCTCTAGTAAACTTCAGATACCTGTAACCACAGAAAGAGTAATTATGAAGGCAAAGAGCCAATATTTTATCTCTATTATTTCGGACGCCTTTCTCGAAAATATACTGTCTGCAGTGATATCACAGATAATTCAATCTCAAGCGCTTTGTCATGATAACGCAGTAGCTGGCAGGGGATGAAGTTCTACTGAGGCACCATGCTTCAAGGGGTTTTTGTTTGGCTCTTGTTGAACATATATACCTCTTGTATATGCGGTGGTGCAGGTCACGGCACATGGACCGCGACATCAGGAACGACAGCCTGTGTTCTTCGATGATCTCGCGGCCGAAGTGGAAGCTGGCCGTCGACTCGCGTCGGCAGAAGGCAGCCATGTGGAACCGCTGCGAGTTGTGGTCCACCATGAACACGGCGCGTCGCTGGATCACCTCGCGCATGTTCTTGTCCATGTACATAATGTTGCCCGGCATGGAGCCGTTCTTGCGCACCACCATGCGCCACAGCTTTTTCATCCGCGGGGACGGTGAGGTCTGCGCACGCAAAATTTTAAAATCACATTCTTATGTCTTCGGTCGTTTCTTATAACACGGGTTCTCGCATAAACTCTGGCGGCTCCGTAGAATAAAGCAATACTTTTTTGCAGACTAGTTGGTTCATACTTGAAAAATTGAATTGCTGCACAAACTTGAAGAAGTTTGTGCAGCAAACCTGAAGCTGCGCTCTTTCCTGTCTCCCTTGTTTTTTTCTTCAAGTTTGTGCAGCAATTCAAATTTTCCGTAGATTAAACTGGGGTTGATATTTTGCAAGTGCACTCGTGGAAAGTTGGGACTTCAAAACTGTGGGAAGTTGAAACTTCAAAAACGAACTTAAGAACTCGTCTGTTATCTTAAGCAATATAAATATCAACATCATCATCATCATCATCATCAGCCTGAATACGTCCACTGCAGGACAAAGGCCTCCCCCTGTTCCGCCAGTCAACTCGGTCCTGTGCTTGCTGCTGCCAATATACCCGCAAACTTCTTAATCTCATCTGCCCACCTAACTTCCTGTCTCCCCCTAGCCCACTTGCCTTCTATAAAAATCCAGTTAGCTACTCTTAATGACCAGCGGTTATCCTGTCTACGTGCTACATGCCCGGCCCATTTCCATTTCCTCTTCTTAATTTCAACTATGATAATGTTACGCCACGTATGTGCCGGACGAAGAAGGAAAAAGAAGCAAGGGGTGTGGAAGAAGAAGATCATCATCATCTGCCTGCGCCGATTCGGCTCGTCCCTCGAACCGTGTATCAATAAACCCCCAGACGCCTACTGAGGTCGTAACAGAGTGGGGAGGTGCTGGGTATAGGAACCAACGACGGGACCGCTACCCCTCGGATTTCGCCGGAGTCGTCGCCTCGCCGGCCTGCCTCCTTCTTTGGCCATCATGCCTGACGAAACAGAAGCTCGGGAACCAGTCCCCAGCAGTTCTTGGCCGTATCACAGAGAGCCACGAACCTTCTCCGGGAGGGCCAATGACGACGTGGACTCATGGCTCAAACATTTCAAGCGAGTAAGCAACTGCAACAAATGGGATGCTGCCTCCCAACTGTCACGCGTTGTTTTCTACCTCACTGATGTTGCCCTCGTTTGGTATGAGAACCATGAAGATATTCTGACAACATGGGAACGCTTTGTTGAAGAAATCAAAAAGTGTTTCGGCAACTCAGCTGCAAAAAAGAAGCTTGCCGAGCAGAGTCTTGCACAGAGGGCCCAGCTATCCGGTGAGACCTGCACCGTGTATACTGAAGAGATTTTGAGGCTGTGTAGGGAAGTCGATTCCAGCATGTCGGAAGAGGACAAGGTGGGGCATTTGCTGAAGGGAATTGCAGAAGATGTTTACAACTTCCTTATTAGCAGGGAAAGCCTGACTTCAGTGTCTGACGTTGTACGGCACTGCCGCACGTTTGAAACCCTGAAGCAGCGCAGAATAGCGCCTAAGTTGGTCGTCTGGCAAATGTCACCTCAGTAGCCAGCATAGAAGCGGCCTCAACTGGTGACCTTTCGGCAACCATCCGCCAAATTGTTCGGGAAGAGTTACTCAGACATGGCGAAATGACACGTGAACGGGCAGCTGCCACGTCTCCATCCTATTTCCCGCAGGACACCACTGCCCCACAGCTTACAGTTTATGAACATCCATCCGTCAACGCAACGGAGGTTGCAGGGCCTCGGCGTATTCAGCAGTCAAGTCCGGTTTTTACGAGCGATCACAGTACCCTCAACGTTCCGTTCCGTACGCCCATACCACCCACCGACAACTGATTTCATTGAATCTCGGGCTTACGCGAACGCTCGCAGACGTGAACACTTCGAAGAACGGCGACGACCTCGTCCTGCGCCTGTGTGCTACAACTGTGGTCTGACTGGTCACATATCGAGGTATTGCGATCGTTCGCGCATACCACGCTATGATCAGTGGACAAGCTTGACCGATAAACCTGCTGTCCCACCTTTTCAAGGACACTGGCCCACCGACTCAAGACCCGGCAGCAGCTTCTGGCACGGACACTGGCGCAACAACTCCCCTGCCTCTGATCGAAGTGTGACGCCACCTCCTGCGCCTCGATCCCACCGGTCTCCATCGCCACGGCGCCGCCCATCGTCACCACATCAGGAAAACTAAACAGTGCGGCCGATGGGGGTGAGGTCGCTGGTGACTTGCTGCAAAACGAAATACCCCCGTCTGTGTTGATGTTCAAGAACAAGGTAGAAGTTTTTGTTGATGGTGTGTGTACGATGGCTTTGGTGGATACTGGTGCTACAGTTTCGATTATGAGTGCTGCTTTTAAACACCGTTTAGGACAAAAGGTGATGTTTTTGTGGGAGAAGGCAACAACATTCTGTGGCGTTGGTGGTAACTCGCTGTGTCCCATTGGTGTCTGTACCGCAGAAGTGTGCTTGGGTGATCAAGTGTTTGTCACAGAGTTTACGATTCTTCCAAGGAGCACACACGACATAATCCTGGGGATTGACTTCCTTCGAATGTGTGGCGCCACTGTTGATTGTAGAAATGGAGAGGTGTACATATGTGATGCTGCCCCTGGAGAACTATTAGAGAATTCAGACAGGGAGCACGGTGCGCTCCGGGTCAGTGAAGATAGCATTGTGCCGGCATTCTCTGCAGTCTGTGTTCCTGTATACTCTTCACGCATTGAAACAGTGACAGTGCGTTCGACGCATTAGTGGAGCCCTTTCATCTCAGTTGCATTAAGAAGAACACATTGGTGCCGCATTGCATAGTGTCACTCGTTCAAGGACGCACAGGACTATGGGCGGTAAACTGTTCAGCTGAGTCGGTGGTTCTACCAGGAGGACTGAAGCTTGCCAAGTTCAAAACATACTCACCGATGGCAGTGGCTGCCCTCAGTGATGCTCCAGGTGGGGCCTCAGCCAATACTTCTACGGCCGATTCAAAACTTTTACCTATGATCGACAAGTCACTTACTACTGACAAACGCCGCATGCTTCTGGACGTTTTGTCGAAATACGTGGCGATTTTCGATTTTTCCCATGACCATGCGCCCTCGATTCCCGCGTCTCGGATTCTCCACAGGATAAACACGGGAACAGCACAGCCCATCCGCCAGAAACCCTACCGAGTGTCGCCGTCTGAGCGCAAGATAATTGATGAACAAGTGCGTGATATGCTGCAGAAGGGTGTCATTCGAGAATCATCGAGTCCTTGGGCGGCTCCCGTGATTCTAGTCAAAAAGAAGGATGGTACCTGGAGATTCTGTGTGGACTATCGCCGTCTAAACTCCGTCACAAGAGAGATGTCTACCCTCTCCCACGCATTGATGACGCTCTAGACTGCCTCCATTCAGCATCCTACTTTTCGTCCATAGACTTACGCTCAGGCTATTGGCAAATACCTGTGCATTCAATGGACAAAGAAAGACGGCTTTCGTTACTCCGGATGGACTATATGAATTTAACGTGATGCCTTTTGGTCTATGTAACGCGCCCGCTACATTTGAAAGATTCATGGACACCATTCTGCGCGGCCTGAAGTGGAACATCTGTATGTGTTATCTTGACGACGTTGTTATCTTCGGGCGTACAGTTCAGTGAACATAACGAAAGGGTAGAGCTGGTTTTGAAATGTATCGAACATGCTGGCTTGTTCTTAATGCAAAGAAGTGTCATTTCGGAGCTCGACAAACACTGGTGCTGGGACATCTCGTCAACAGGATGGCATCAGGCCCGACCCGAATAAGACGGCGGCTGTTAGAGCTTTTAAACCACCTGGCTCAGTGAAGGAGCTTCGGAGCTTCTTGGGCCTCTGCTCTTACTTTCGCCGATTTATTCCCGCCTTTGCAGAAGTTGCCTTTCCACTGACCTGTCTCTCCGCCAAGGGTGCTAGTTTTGAATGGACTCCTGCTTGTGAAACTTCTTTCAACCAACTGAAGTTCTTGCTCACGTCGCAGCAGCCTATCCTGCGGCACTTCGATCCTTCTGCGGCGACTGAAGTTCACACCGACGCAAGCGGCATTGGCATAGGTGCAGTCCTCATACAGCGATGTAATCAAGTGGAACACGTAAGTCGCATATGCCAGTCGTACTTTAAGTAAGCCGGACGCAATTACCTGTGACCGAACAGAATGCCTTGCACTCGTCCTTCGCTGTGCAGCGATTCCGCTCATACCTATACGGTCGTCCTTTCCAAGTAGTTACGGATCATCATTCTTTGTGCTGGGCTTATCACCTTCGGGATCCGTCAGGCCGTCTAGCACGCTGGGCCCTCCGGCTGCAAGAGTACAACTTCACGGTATCGTACAGAGCTGGCAGTAACACGCGGACGCAGACTGCCTTTCAGGATGCCAGTTGAGGCTACAGTTTGCGACCTGACGATTTCGATCATCTGATTGCGTCCGTAGCACCAGCGTCCCGGATAAGGCCACCTTTGAAACTGAGCAGCGGAAGACGTGAGTTTGAATCCGTTATTCGTGATCGCACAAGCATCCACTCCGGAAAAGCCTATTTTGCGTCCGTGATGGTCTACTGTAAGAGAATCCATCTCCGCACCGGTTTTCCGCTTCCTGCTGGTGGTTCCAGAGGCACTACGGTCATCTGTTTTGTACGCCATGCATGATGACGCCACTTCAGGTCACCTCGGAACGACGCGCACTCTTCATCGTACCCAGGAACGCTTCTACTGGCCACGTATGCGCCAGTCAGTTGAGTTGTACGTGGCCAGTTGTGCGCAATGCCAGGCGCAACAAATCTCTCTCAGCAGCTCCGGCCGGACATCTACAACCTGTGACGCCTCCCAGTTCTCCGTTCGAACAAATTGGCATTGACCTGGTGGGCCCTTTTCCGCGTTCAATCGAAAGGCAACAGATGGATTTGTGGTATGTGCTGACCATCTTACTCGTTACTGCGAGACTGCTGCCCTGCCATCCGCGACTGCTGGTCAAGTGTCGTCCTTCCTTCTCCATTCTATCATACTGCGTCATGGGCCCCTCGCGTCATCATAAGTGACCGTG